TTCAAATCCATATTGGTCACTTTCCAAGTGTCCAATCAAGTCACTTAACCTAAGGCTGTGAGTGACACCTAGGAATGGCGTTTACCTGTAAAGGTAATAATAATATTGTCATTTTAATGCTATCACAAAGGATTAAAGACCATAACACATTGATCAGTTAAGACAAACTATGAAATTTAGCTTCTTTTAGATCAAAGATACTTAGTGTTAGCTGTGTGGTCTTGGGAAACTTACTTCACCTCTCTGTGCCTTGGTTACCTCAGTTGTAAAATGAGCAGAATGATAAACTGTTCTGGAGATAAGTTGAGTTGATATGTATGAGGTGCTCAGAGCAGTACATAGCTCTTAAGTCTGGTACCTCGTAAGCTTATATATGTTTTAATTATTATAATTTCATATTTGCGTGGTAGTGGTGAAATCAGGGAGGCAGAAAACCTAGACTTCAGCCCCAGCCCTGCACTTGGTGAACTTGCAGAAGTCACATCACTTCTCTGCCATCCGTTTCCTTCTGTGTAAAATGAGGGGATTGACAAGACCATCTGTCGAGCTCAGACATTTTCAGTCTAACTACCTGAACTCCACTGGAAGCTGTAAGACCTCGAGGAGGCTCACTAGCTTGTCGGTAGTTTTGAGCTTCTGATCTCTTGCAGATCTGTCAAGACTCCCTCATGGATTCACAACAAGGTCCCTGCTTCTGTCTCAGTTTTTCTGCAGAGTAGTTGATGTGTTTACTTTCCACCAAGACCTGTCCCTCTCTCAGCTGTGTGAGAGCTGCTACAAGCCAGCTTCCTGGCAGGGAGAGAGGGAAAGACATTGTTTTTATTGTTCTGCCTCGCTGTGTCTTCCTTCCTTTGGGATCCCTTCTGAGAAAGGTCAAAACAGAATTCTGCAACTGCCTTGATGAGACGTGCCTGCAGAGAGACTGAAGAAGCGGGGCTGTGTTAGGGGCGGTGCCTGCCTGGGGAGTCCCCCACCCCAGTCCTCTCAGGTCTGACTCATTGTCCAGCTCCGTGGTCACTCCTTTTCTGCCCCAGAGAGAGAGAGAGCACATTAAAAATATCTCGACTGCTGTGGTTGGCAGATGGAAGAGGGGATAGTGACTAAAGCATAATGGGATATCTAAGACAGGGCAAAGCAGCAGGGTAAGTAGTTTTGCTTAAGATTTTGTGACAACCCAGAATAGTACATCCATCCCTTCTTGCTTTTTTGATATTCTGCTGTGGCTAGGGAGGCTGGAAGTTATACCCGCTCTCCTGAAGGAGGAAACTTCTACCCTCTTTCCCAATGCAGGGGAGTATTAAAAAGGCCGCCTCCACTTCCTTTTGTGTATTTTTTAATTACAGTTTATCTTCAATATTATTCTGTGTTAGTTTCAGGTGTACAGTACAGTAGTTAATCATGTACTTTATAGAGTGGTTCTCGCACCCCCATATTTCAACTACCCACCTGGCTCCATACACAGTTATTACAATATTATTGACTGTATTCCCTATACTGTAATTTATATCTTTGCGACTATTTTGTAATTACCAATCTGCACTCATTAATCCACTTCCTTTCTTTTATTTGCTTCTGCCCCTATTGCCTTCTTATTTGCTCCTGCCCAAAGGTTGAAGAGGGGGGATGGGAGAGTCAGACCCCGGCCCTCCGTGACTGTGTTTACTCCCAGGCGAAGCTGTGAGCCTTGACGTAGGGTCTCAGGAACCATCTGTCTTTTCTATGTCCAAACTCAGAAAGACTTCTTCTGTTTCTTGTTCCAGATAACAAATATGTGAGCGTCAGGATTAGTAAGGAGGGATGGGCAAACAGAGAAAAAACACTTGGTTGTAAGTAACCGTAGATTAATCAACGGTGTTTGACTATGTGAGGTTCACAGCGCATATCCTGAGCAGTTTTTCCAAATGGCTGGATCATCAATTGCTCCTACTGCCTAGGAGGATAAATGTGGTAGAAATTCATTCTACCTTGAATGAAAAGGGGGTTCTTATCACTCCTATCAAAGATATCTCGCATTGTTGGACATTTCAGCCAGAATGAGTTAAGTCTTTCATTGATTTTATTTTACAGCCTATGCAACTACAACTAGTCTGAGAAACGCGTTTGAGAACATCCCGCAGAATCCCTTATAACATTCTCTTTTTGACTCTCTTTTATGTATCTAGTCCTGTAGTTTCTATTTGAACATTTTCAGCAACAAAACACTCACCCTTTCACAGGTTATTTTGTTTTTAGACAGGTATAACTATTGGTAAATGCTTTCTTTGTATCTTCTTTATAAATTCCTCTTGAAACTTTTGCCCCCTTTTGTAATCAAAAATTGAAATACCTTTTTTCTATGGCAGCATTTTAAGTACTTAATTCTTACATGAGGTCATGCCGTAGTAATCTCCATGGCTGGAAACAAGGGCAGTTTGTTACTTACACATAAGACATACACATATGTCCTTCCTGGATCACCTGCGGATGCTGTAGTGCATTGTCCTCAGTAGGGACTCAGGCTGACAGCACAGCTACTGCCACCAGTTTGCTTTTAGCAGCTACCAACTGAGTGAACCTATGACCGAAGAGTATAAACTGAGTAATGATTTTAACTTTTATTCTCTAACTTTCAGGACTCCAACTTTCTTTTCAAATCTAAATAAAATACCTTGAATTCTAATTCCATGTCACTGCAGAAGTTGCCCACCCTCCCCAGCGTGTCTCTGAGGTTCTACTCCTAGCATTCATCCGTCAAGTTCTTTCTCCACATCCCTGCTCCCCACCCAATTGGCAATCCTCAGGGGGACCGTCTCATGCGGGTCTCTCATCCCTTTGTCCCCAAACTTGGGGACAGCGCTTCTCCTTTATTCTCCAAGTCACCACAGCATCGTGCTGTTACTGACAGCAGATGCCTTGGAGTGTTGAGGGCAGTGGCAGAAGAGAAGTGAAGAGGGGCAGAGAGGGACATGTAAATAACTTGACATTGAAAATTAGACATCACAGTTTCCCAAGTTCCTTCCCTGCCTCTCACCTCCTCTCCCACCAATGCTAGGCCCATCTTCAGCCTCTGAAGGATCCCGCCCTAGTTTCTTCTCAACCCACATCCCTGAGCCTGCCCCGCTCCTGACAAAGGGAAAGCGCTACTTCACCATTACTTTATTCAGCAGGGCAATTTAGCGCCCTTTGTCTTAACCTCTTCCATTCTGAGTTATTCTAATCCATTCTGTTTCATAACAAAAGGGCTTATTCATACATTTCGTGAACAAAACAATCTACCAAAGCCTCCACAGTTGAAGAGGGAACAAAAGCTGAGAAATTAGTTTTTCTTTAAGATGCCTCCCAAGAAAATGCTTAGCAAATGCTTTTGATTCCAACCAACCTCATATTAGGGAAACTTTCAAATACAGTGAGCATAAATTATAAAGGGCATATTTAGGAATATTTAGGGAGTAAGGTCATGGAGGACCTTGGGAAACCCATTACCTTGAACAGGAAATGAATGTGAGCAGTGGATTATGGGTGGCCAGGCAGCTGGAGGGAGGTGCGGGAATGGGAGGAGGCTGTTACCGGGAGGCAGGCAGGCAGGGGCAGTGGGGATGGAAAGAGGTGCTGAAATTGAGCCTTGTTGAGAAGACAGAATGCACAGGAGTTGGCCTGGGACAGTGAGGGGAGAAGGGAACGTCAGGAGTGATACCCAGTTTTCTTCCTGTAGCAACCGGATGGGTGTTGGTACAATTTACTATAATAGAAAATAAATGAGCAGGAATAAATTTAAGGAGGAAATTATGTTTCATTTTGGATATGTTTTATTTTAGGTTTTTGGGGCATCCCATGGGCTCAGAGAAAAGATTTACAACTTGGGTTTTCCAGGCAGGACTGGCCGATGGGTGTGCTTTCTGAGGGAGGACCAGGCTGCCCCCTGGAACCCCAATATTCCAGGGAAAACTTCTGAATAAAAGGTCCCTTTTGAAGCCTTGATCTTATTTGAGGGTTGGGACTTCCTTGATGCACATACCGGTGTAAGATGTAAAAGCAGTAGCTAAAGTACTTGAGACCCTAGTCCAGCCTCCACCCTGGAAAAACATGGGCACTTCCTCTTCACCTAAGTATGTTTGACCAAGCAGAGGGCAGGCTGCTGATTTAATCTGAGTCACTCAGTTAGGTGTTGCCTGGGAGCCCAGAAACATGTTACATGTGATGGATGCCTGATATTTACCAGTGTGACTTATCTGTCACCATTTTCCACCCATTTCAAATGGGGTACAGTTAAAGATTTCACATTTTTGCCTTCTTACTCATTTTTCTTAACCTCGCTCTTTTGCCTTCAGAAAAAAAAAATAGAAAATGTGACTAATATGATCACATTCCTATCATTAAACATGAGCTGTCATTGTAGAGACTACAGCCATGGACTCGGGCATCCGATTCCAGCTGTACCCAGGGAGGCCATCCGCTGCGGGGGAGGAGCGCTGGGATTGGGGTCGGGGCACCTGCCTTCTCACTCCAGGTTTCCATTCACTTAGGGGGTCCCTTTGGCAAGTTCCTTATCTCCCTTTTGGTGTTACTGGTCTTATATGAAAAATATGCAAATTATTAGTCACTGCTGCATCGCAGGCTGCTTGGAGATGATGGCCAAAAGGCTACATCAAGTCTATAGAAACTAAAGGAATATTACACCCCACATGCTACAGTCCTAGACTGCTGGGCTTTTGTTCCAGACCAAGCATGTTTCTCATCAAGGTTGCACTGCCTTCAGCTACTATGGATGCATTCTTAATTTTTTTTTTAATGGTGTGGCTCAGTGGATTGAGCTCCAGCCTGTGAACCAAAGGGTCGCTGGTTCGATTCCCAGTCAGGGCACATGCCTGGGTTGCAGGCAAGGTCCCCGGTAGGGGGCGCTCAAAGGCAACCACACATTGACGTTTCTCTCCCTCTCTTTCTCCCTCCCTTCCCCTCTCTCTAAAAATAAATAAATCTTTAAAAACATACAAACAAATGAAAGAAAACCTTTTCTCTTGCAGTGCATAGTGTGGGACTGGGACTCCAACGGCAAACATGACTTCATTGGAGAATTCACCTCGACGTTCAAGGAGATGAGAGGAGCAATGGAAGGAAAGCAGGTACGTGGTAAACCACTCGTGGTCTTTTTCCAGACCCTGCTCCTGATGCACGCAAGTACACATGAGCAGCTGGAGGTGAGACGTCAGTACATGACTAAATGGGAGGAGAGGAAAACACCATGGGATTTCAGTACCTAGCTCAAACACTAGCCCAGCCCAAAGCACTCGGGCTAACCTTGGACAAGACACCACCCAGTGTCTCCATCGGTTAAATGAAGAGGTTAGAGGAGAATAGTTCTAATTTCCTTTAGTTGTGTAGCCTTAAACAATTGACCTAATCTCTCTGTGCCTTAGCTTACTCTCCTAAAAAAAAAGGTGGTAATTGTACCAATTCCGTAGAATTTTGTGAAAATTAAATGAAATAATTTATGATATGCATTTATCAGAGTACCTCACATATAGCTAGAACTTTTAAAATACCTGCTGTTAGTAGTGGTATTCTTTCTAGTTCTATATTTCCATGACTTGGTGACACTGGTTACACATTTAATGTTTTAAAGAGATTAGTTGGTTCCTCCAAGTTTTTAGTGCGGGCACTGGATTTTCATCTAGTTCTACCTTTTTATTCTCTGGGTGCCAAGACCTGTCCCCAACACTGTCACATACCACAGAGACACATAAGGATTCCACTGTACTGCACAGGAAACTAAACCTCTGTGTTTCTCGCAGACACGTGTGCTCTTATACACACATATATGCCAATTTATCAGTCCGTTGCAGTCAGCTAGATGTACATGTAACTTCTGCTCTTATCTGTTCGATGTTCACTTGTCCAGCTTCCAGCTGCAGAACCTAAATCTCTTTGCCTGAGGGCTTTCTCTGGCTGCTGGAGCCTGCTCTGCCTAGTCCCACAGGGGGCGGCAGAGTGTGGGGGGAGGTGGAACACCAGCCAGGGAGCAGCCCTCAACAAATAATTAACAGGAGCTGAGGTATAAAGGTGCCAAAGCCCTGAGCTGTGTACCACGCAGTTTCCCAGCTGGAATAAGCCCTGGTTGCCCACAGTGGTAGCTGACTTTTCTGACTGCCTTCCCTCTCTCAATTTCCCACTTTATTGGTACTTTCTGATAGTATCTCCCAGATGAGCTACTTGCACTTAAATCCTTGCCTTGGGTTTTGTTTCTGGGGGAACTCAAACCCAATTACCTGCCATTCTTCCTCTGCAGCCAATTGTCCCCATGGAATAGAAAGGAATAACAGCAATGGCTTTGACAAAGGTCTCTTCTCTTGGAGATAAGACCCTGCCCCTCATCTGGCCAGACAGGTAGAGAAGATGTCCCAAGTCATTGTTCAAGCCTCTTACTTCAGATGTGAGGTCAAGATAAAACCAGACTGGATGGACATAAACTAACATTGTTTAGAATCAGAAGCTTAACTTGAACCAGACCATTTGTTGAATACATACCTTTGGCCCGGAAACTCAAAGGCAGCTTTCTACATAGGTGCAACAAAACGTGCTTTACATGCTCTGTTGTGTACTAGGCACTGCAAAGCACTTGTCAAACACACGGAGACCTTCATCCACAAGCAGGCATGCAGAGTTTTGGAGCTACAATGAAAACTAACACTAAATTATCAGTAAAGTCACTTCTAGGATAAAAAAGAATATAACCAGAGAAATTGCTCCATTGAATGTACTGGATCAGGCTCTACTGAGCTAATAAATCAATGACCGTTATTGATACCACCTGCTAGAGCTCTAAAGAGTTTTACACAATTTTGCCTTGTTCCTTTCTACAAATAAAAATATCCAAATTAATAAATAGGAAAACCATTTCATCTTGAGGCTCCAAAGAGAGTATTAAAAGTAAAATCATAACATATGTCACAATTGAAAAACACTAAAACCTGATGCATTCAAAGTAACAGAAATAAATCTTAAAGTCTCACTGAGGAAATGGGCCATCTGGCACTGTATTTTTCTATGTCACTGAGATACCAGAAAGATTTTAGTTCAACCACCCAGGCACTGTTTTGACACATTTGCACTGTGGGAACTGCTTCCTTATTTGATTCTCCTAACATTGATAGTTATTGAGGAGTATCTACTAAGTGCCAGGCACGATGCCACTTTCTAGTTGTGCCAAGACTGTGCATCAGAGTAAACCATAAGCACAAATCAAATAAACAAAACAATAAAAACACAGTTATAACTTCTGACAAATGATATAAAAAAACTGAACCAGCTTAGTTATAAAGGTGAGGCATAGAAGAGATAATCTGAAAAAGTGACATTTAAGTTGAGGGCCTTTAAAAAATTTTTATAGATATATTTTTTTAATTATTAGAAAACTGTATCTACAGAACACAAAATTTGATTTTCAGGATTTTTTTATTCAATCATTTTTTATTGTTATTCTATTACAGTTGTCTCAATTATTCCGCCTTTGCCCTCCTCTGCCTATGCCCCCTCCTACTCCTTTAAACACAAAAAGAAGTCAACCGTGTAACAAGCAAGGGAAAACATTTCGGACCAAGGGAATAGCTGTATCGAGATAGGAAAGAGCTTGGGGACTTTCAGGATCTGGGAAGAGCCCATTGTACCGGGAGCAGAAAGGGGGAGGGGGCCACGCCTGAGATGTTGTTCAAGCCACAGGAGGAAACCAGGGGAAGGAGATTCTCATAGCTCAGAAAAAAAGGGAGTTGGGGCTTTCTTTTCTAAATATAATGAGAGTACTTTAAAACTGTGCTCTTCAATACAGTGGCCACTAGCTACATGTGACTACTTAAATTTAAATTTTAATTAATTAAAATTTTAATTCCTCAGTCACACTAGCCACATTTCAAGTACTGAATAACCTCTTGTGGCTAGCAACCTCAGTATTGGCTCGTGCAAGTATGGACTATCTCCACCATTGCAGAAAGTTCTACAAGGCTACAAGAGAGTGACATGATTGGATTTAATTTTTTTTAATTACTTTGGCTACTGTGTAGATAATTAATTATAGAGACAAGAGAGTCGGACAGGGAGATCTGTTAGAAGCTAAAACTGTAGGCAAGACAAGATGCGATAATGACTTGGACTTAAAAAAATGATGAGAGATGGAGGCAAGTAGAGAGACATAAGATACATTTTGGAGATAGTAGCTACAAGATTTATTGGGGGATTCTATCTGAGGGGGAAAAAGGGTAGGAAAAGAATGACTCGAGGACAGATGGACACATGTTCGTACCTTCTCCTGACTGAGGAAGCCTTATTTTAGGGAAGTCCAATTTGTGACAAAGGTTCAAAAGTGAGTTTGGGGGCTTAGCATTCAGAGGACTTACCTGGAGATGTATTTTAGGAGCCATAAACAGTGAGATAGTGTTTAAAGTCAAGAGAAGGGATGGGTACATTTGTGGAGAGAAGGTAGAAGAGATAATAGGGGAGGCTTAAACACTGCAGAGCCTCAATATGTAAGGACAGAGAGAGAAAAAGATATCTATCAAACTCCTGCCTGTGAGAGTTAAGGTTCTTCAGGTACAGGGTAAATTCTTGATCAACTCTGATTAATTCCTAGGTAGCCTTTATGAACATGCTTAGTTTGAGGTGGCCAAAAGGGCCACTTGTAAGAACAAATAGTAGAGCCCCTCCAACATGCTTCTAGGGGTGAACGTTGAGACTCACAGGCCTGGCTTTGGAGTGAGACTGGGTGTTCCGAACCCCAGCTCCTCTGGTTACCACCTGTGTGACTGAGCCTCTTCTCGGAGCCTCATTGTTCATCTAGAAAACTGAGTTAAAGGGAAAGTTAAATGGGATGGTAGATACAAAGTAAATAGGCCACAGCTACATGACAGTTTCATGGCAAGACAGATGCAGACTATTTAGACATGGTTCACTGAGTGCCCTGTGCCCACCCAATGGGCATAAAATCCCCAAGTGCCTCCAGGTTTTGATTTCGCTTCTGGGAGCCCTCGTCTGGCTGAGCCAGCCTACCCTCCACTCTTGTTCCATCTTAACCTGAGATGGAAATGAATAGACTTTTTCATGGATGATCATTATAATTCTTTGTAGAACTTGGAATCTATCTCATTCAAAGTTTATGTCCTGCTTGATTAAAAATTGAGGTTAATAGCAATTACTGAAAATGACCCCAAAAAAATCAGATCTAATTTTAGGGTCTTTTCTTTCCAGTTGTGAGGTAAGTTCCTAAGACACATGTTTATACTGTAACATTAGAGGAAGCTTTGGAGGAAAGGCAATTTCAATTGATGGGCTTAGGGGTAGACTTGGGATCCTTTTTCTGAAAATACTAAATCTACTTTGAGACAGAATGGAATTCTTGATTATCAAGTGATGCTCTCATGAAGAACGAATTAGAAGAAAACCCCAGAGAGGAAAGAAAGGCAATCATTATCATGGTGGAAAGATTAGGTCTTTTTAAAAATAGGGCTGAAGATCTCTTGATTTCAGATTCTGTTTTGACTCTTCTCTCTTTCTTTCCTCCCTTCTTTCCATTCTTTCCTTTTTTCTTTCTTTGTTTTTAATGGAAGGAGTCTCAGAGGCCTCTTAACCTGTACAGCATCGCTCTCTCCCAAATCTGCGTGCCTTTGCCCAGTCCCTGCTGCAACTTGCCCAGTGTTGAGAAGCTACTGTATCACTTATTGGTTGCTGAGTAATAATTTACACCAAAACTTCCTGGCTGGAAAAACAAACCAAAACAAACAATCAGTATTCACTCATGATTCTCTGGGTTGCCAATTTAGGCTGAGTTCAATTGGAATGGCTCTTCTCTGCTACACATGATACCAACTGAATTCACTTATGCATTTTGCCCCGAGCAGCTGGAATTTTTCCATGTGGACTTATTCACCAAGAGACCAACCTAAGCTTTTTTTTACAGGGTGATGAGAACTTTCCAGCACCAAGCCCCAGTGCAACGGCACTTTTCAATCCTCTGCTCAAATCACTTTTGCTAATGTTCCATTGGTCAAGCAAGTCACCTGACTAATCTCAGCATCATTATGGGAGGAAACTACACAAATTTAAGGACTCTGAGAGGAATGGATCTCTGTGGGCCAAGGCTGTATCAACCGACCCTATTCATATCTCCCTCAGAGATCACTTCATTTTCAGACACAATTTTCAGAGAGTAAAAATTTGTCTCCTGAGTAGAAACCCAAGGATCCAGCTCCCACAGCATGATGGGCAGAAGCAGTCAATGATTCCTGGATGTTTGACTTGAAATTGACTTTATCCCATGAACTGGCTGGAAAGGTTGCATCTGTTCCCCTAGACAGGCTCAGCTACCTCCTCAGTCCCCAGATATTCCCGCAGCTCAGATCCTATCCTTCTACGGTCTCTCTTTGGAGATGTAGTGTGCCACTGTTGTGACATGTGTCAACCCATTATTTCAATATTCAGTAAACACATCATTATCCCCATTAACTTCTTGTAGCCAGTATTCAATGTTCCTCAGTTTTTCTACTTTTTAAGTCAATCCCCAGGAACTAAGAATCAGCACTTGGGTTACTTAACTATGTGTGTTCAGATCTCTCCTTTTTTCTGATGCTTGATTTGACCCTATTAATAGTAAGCATTTATAAGTGCCAGGCACTGTCCTAAATGTGTTACACAGATTAATCATTCAATCCACGCAATAATCCTATGAGATAGATACAATCATAAGCTACATTTACAGTGGATATATCCAAGACATAGAGGAATCAAGTATAGCCAACACTTGAACAATACAGATTTGAACAGCATGAGTCCACATATACGCAGATCTTTTCAATAAATAACTATACTGATTTCAATCCATGGTTAGGAGTCTATTGATGCAGAGGGCTGACTATATGAATTGGTTTATACCACTTATGTAGGAAACTTGAACATCTACAGATTTTGTTTTTGTGGAGGTCCTGGAACCAATTCCTTATGGATACCAAGGTTAGTTAAGTTTTGGGACAGTCAAAAGTTAGACACAGATTTTTGGACAACCTTCACATTGTTTAAGGGTCAACTGTAATTTGCCAGAAGTCACACAGCTGGAAACTGGAGGCGCTGGGTTTCAAACCAGGTAGTCTGGTATCAGAGCCTAACTCTCAACCGCTCCTCCTGTATTCAGTCACCTGGAGGCCATTTATCAGCCCTCAGTTTCCTCTGCAGCAGCACGTGGCAGCTTGACCTCATCAAATGACTCCACTTCTTCCTGAGCTGGCAGTCATGCTGCGACTCTTCTTGTTGCAGGTGCAGTGGGAGTGCATCAACCCCAAGTACAAAGCCAAGAAGAAGAATTATAAGAACTCAGGCATTGTGATTTTGAATCAATGCAAGGTATGTTATATAACCTGTCTTTCAGAAGGATGAAGCTAGGGTTGTCTGGGAGGAATAGTTCATGGTCTATGGTCAGAGGGAGAGAGTGTCAAAGAGATGTGATCTATTTTAAAATAATAATCAGAAAGTCAATATATTAATGGACATACAATGTGAAATGTTTGTATGGGTAGTCTTGGAGCTGTGGTAGCTCAATGCCACCATCTCCACAAGGGCAGTCCTGCCCCCAAAGAGAGGAGAGTCCCGATCACAAGTCAGTCTCTTCTCTGCCCAGGGCAGCACCAGAGGGAGATTCCCAAATGGGGCATTCGACCTTTCCAAAGCACCTACTATGTGTCTATCACAGTATTCAATGGTTTATATGTGGCACCTCACTCCTGCTGAAAGGAAACCATGAAAAAAAGACAATAGAAGGAGATTGAAGGGACTAGACGTTTCCCCCAGGGGAGCTCTAACTTCCCAGAAAAGTGCATATGTTAACAAGGAAGTCCCTTACCTTGTATCTGAGAATAATTCTGCCACTAGTTGCGTGCTTACTATGTAAGAGTAACTATTATAACTTCTATTTACTCTTATTACAACCCTGAGATTTCCACTTTCAAATGAGATCACTCACAAGTGGTGAGTTTAGAAGCTGAGATTTTAATCCATGCCTTTCCGACTTCACCATATAGGACTAAGTACCAATCATTTTCTCTCTAAATAAGTCATGTTCCTTCTCCCAGACTCACCTCCCCAGAGCTGCCAGGAGCTGCAGGAGCACATCCTTACATGACAGCAGAGTAGAGGAAAAGCCTGATTGGACTGGTATGGGTCACATGCCCACTCTTGAACCAATCACTGGGACCAGGGAACAATGTATTGTGATTGGCCAACTGGGGGACTTGTAGACCCCAGGAGGGACTGCCCTTCCCAGAGTTAGCTAGTTCCTAGAGATAGGAATCCATTTGCCTGCCAGCCTGCTTTTAGTATACTTAGACCAACCAATCCAGAGCCTATGCTCCCAACCACTTCCTTTACTTTTACACATGAAGGTAATATTCCCCCTGCCCTATATCACCCCAGAGCTAGGTTTCAGACAATTAGAGACCACTTCAATAGCTAGAGCCTGACAAAATTACTCAAACAATCTAGTTCTAAACCTGCTCAGCTACTTGCCCTGGCTCACTTACTTTTTTCCCCATAAAATCCACAATAAAGACATTTACTTACACTTTCCCCTTCCTCCTGTCTCCTGATTAAATCTAGTGCTGCTCCGTCTGCCCCACCCCACATGGCAGGACAGACAGGCCTCTCACCTTAGGGGGGCTCTGAGTGATAAATGCTCCTTTCAAAGGCAGTCATCTCTGGTCATCTTACCTCCTTACACAAATCACATTCAAAACAGTCCTGTGGCCATCCCTGTGCCCAAAGGAGCAGGAGAAAAGAAGATACAGATGAACCAGTTCAATCATCTATCTCCTTAAGGTGTCATAGGATATGTGCATATATATGTTTTGATTCTCCATGAGTTGATCTAACAGTTCGGCACTCAAAGGCCATTGTTATTGAACTCATTGCCTGAATATACATACAATAGTAGAATGCCTGAACTATCAGGCAAAGCACTGCCATAGTACTATTCAGAGGGCCAAGTGAACATCAGCCCTAGATAAGTCTGCTAATAGGTAGGTGCCATCTGGAGATAGGACATAGAGGCACAAACATGGGATTTTGTGGGTCAGTCTCTGAGAAGCTGCCCTGAGCATCAGATGGAGTCTGAGGAGTGTTAAAAATCGTAGTTGCAGGTTGTCTAAGTAAAAAGATCTATAAGCTTTGCAACTGTAGGTACTCTTTTTTTTTTTCCTCATCACTATGTCTCTAACATCTAGTACCAGGTAGTGTGGTGGGTGGAGAGGAAGGCTCAATAAATCCTTGTTGAATAAGTGAATAGATGAATGCCACCAAGAGTGAAGCAGAAGAATCACAAAGAAGGAGAAATTAAAATCAGAAATCAGTAAAGCACAGGAGAACACAGATGGTGGTGGTTGGGCAGAAAGCAAGGACCGTGCGGACTTCCAGCATGGAGATCAAGAGAATGAACTGTGCAGGCCAGGCTGCCATGAATTGAGTCCCACCCCTACCATCTACTAGGCAGGTAATCTTAGCCTCAGTTTCCTCATTTATAAAATGGGCACAATAATAATAACAGTAGTATACCTTGATAGGATTGATCCAAGAATTAAACGAGATAATAGATATTAAGTGCCCAGCATATGGTAAGTGTTCAATAAATGTTAGTCGTTGTTCATGGCATGGGAAGAATCTACCTCACTGGAAATTGTCAGCAAAGGGTTTCTCAGGTTATTGTTGTCTCGACACTGCCAATTAGATTACTTGTAGAATTAAGAATGTTACCAGGACTGGGACTTAGACATAAGGAGCATGACTGATGCCAAGTGTGAGACTTTATTGATTTCAAAACAGTGGTGCCCCTTGAAAGTATACTGTTAGTCTTACCCCAGAGACAGAGGCTGATGGAAACCATTCATAAACCAAAAGGGGGGAGCAAAGGATGGATATCTGCAGTACTCATGGGCTTCTCTGAATTCAGCATTGTTTCTTCCTCTTTTTTAATGAAACCAACGAGCTGACCCGTCTTTCTCCCACAGATTGCTCTCTGTTCTTTCCTCTAGTTTAGCAGCCTAACCTTCAAATTTAGGCCTCCTATCTGCAAGGACACAGGACATGCTATTACTAAGACAGTGTCCCCTCTTCCTCCTATGCAGATCCACAAGATGCATTCCTTCTTGGACTACATCATGGGTGGCTGCCAGATCCAGTTTACAGTAAGTTTTTTCCTTGTTTGTTCTTATTCAGGAAGCAAGGTTGGGGAATGGTGCTGGGTTTGAGGCACAAGGAAGTAAAAGTCTGTTAAAACACTAGGTCAGCTCTGTTCAAGTCTCATTGATGAACTATAGTAGGGTCACATTTTTTAAAAATGTTTATATTTCTGTTTTTTCCAGCAAATGTGGTTTTCAGCATCATGTCAGGAAATTCATGCTGTTCAGCTTCAGGTGGTTTGGGGAACTATCCTAATGCTTCTCATTCTTTCAGTAACTGCACGAGGCATGAGGCACTGGGCACAATGCCAGGTCCAATCACCTGGTGAGCAGGATTGGAAGGCAGAGAACCAGGCTAGTAAGTCCTATTGAACTAGGGCAGGTGCCTTTGTTGTATTTACATGGCCAGAACATAAGCACCAATGTCATGTCCAACTGTCAGTGCCAGGAGTAAGCCATCCAAATTGTTTGTCAGGCAATAAAAAGGTGAATTCCAAAAGATTAGAGAACCAGCCTTTCAAAGTTGAGAAATAGAGTGAGTGTCTAGACTCAATGGGTAGATCTCCTACATGTCACCTGTAAGCCCATGGGATTCACGTACTCCTTAATATGCATTTGGGTGCCAGTTCTTTGTCAAGTTCCCAGGTTGGCCAAATTTGTGAATCCATCTGCCGTGGAAAACCTTGTTCCTGGGCTTGGGCAGATGTGACCTCCAGAGAGGGAATCCCCAGGTGCCAAATCCCCAGATCTGCTAATGCCTATGGGAAAGCAACATGGATATAAACAATAAAAATACAATCTGTGCAGTGTTTGTTCCACATATTACAGAAGCATACTCATGAAGCTCAGGCTGGTTTCACTTCCTAGACTGGCTCAATCACGTGAGGAAGGCAAGAAAAAAATGGGTTTAATTTTTTGTCCAGATTTGAGCTCAAGAGCGTAGATAGAACCAATGTATTCCTGTGACCAGGGTTAGTGGTACTCAAAGAACTAAAAGGGGAGTTCCTGAGGGGAAGAGATAAGGCATCTTTGATAGGTCAGCCTCTGTCTAGCTAGAGGCTTGTCCTCTGCTGTCATCTCAGATGCATCTACCTACGTCCTGCCTAAACTCGAGGCATTGTTCATATACCCTGGATTAGTTACAGGAGTTAAGTACAGAATTTGATCATTTCTTTAAAGACACACCCATCCAGCCCTCCTACATGCACACTGGCACATATAGAAGGTAGCAAACATGTTCACTGTGCCACACACATCTAACTTTCACTGTCCTGTGGGTTCATTGTCACTCTGAGTGTATACAAAGGAAGTAGAAAAGCCAGCAATGTCATAAAGGAGGGCTACTGGAAATAGTGTCCCAAGACCTTAGGCAAAGGAGTGATTTCAAGAAACTATTAATAGGTATCCAAGGGGAAGCTCTATTGATTTGGGTTTGTTTTAGATTCTATAGATCCCATGCTCTTAAACAACACTTTATTCAACCTTCAGGGCCTTGCTTTGCCCTTGGAGTAGTGCTGCCAAGAGTCAGCCCCTGTAAAAACCAGAAGTTTAACCCCACAGGGTTCCCAGGTCTGCATCCTGACTTACAGAGGTCTATATCACCTTCCTGACACAGAAGAATGGCCCTCTCAGCATTGGTCTCTCCTTTCTCACTTTTTCTGACCCTCCCCATCTGGGAGGTACCACCTTAATGGGTCTCACCAACACTTCCCTAGTCCCAGCCTCAGCCCCTCCCGAACCAACTGATGGACGTATGGGGGTCTGGGATGAGTCTGGAGCAAGAAATGAAAAGAGGAAGAGAATGTACGTACAAATGCTGAGAAGGGGACAGGCCGTCGTCAGTGTCTGCCACAAAGCCTGTCCCCCTGTAGGTTCAGGCCAGGGCCTCAAAGGAAGATTGCAAAGTGTTCTATTTTGAGCTTTCTAGTAAAGAACACATCCCAGTCACTTTAATATAATTTTCCTTCAAAATTAAGTCAGCTTTCTCACTATTTTCTCATTGCTCAAGCAGTGCAATCTAATATAAAATGTAAGCTCCAATGCAAACTATTAATAAGAATTAGCACGTCTTATTTAATTTGGTCCAGTAATTAGTTGAAACCATCTGGCAACATGAAAGGAAGGTGGCAGAGGGATGAGAAATGAGAAGAGGGCCTCCTGGCCTGGAGATAGGCAGAGAGGGGACGGGGAGGATGCTCTGTGGCAGTCAGAAACCCCCATTGGCACAGAAATTCAATAAGCGCAGGAGCTTTAGCCAAGATGAACTTTCTGTCTCCCTGGAGACAGACCTTCAGGAGCCAGCAGTGAAATAAAGCTCTGGATGTTCCCTCTACTCTTGACCCTTCTCCGCCTCCCCTCTGCACCCCCGGAGGCCTTCCTCTTTGGATATACTAGCCAGGTTCTCTGGCTCATGGGGTTTAGGTAACTAAGACCAATGGGAAGAACTAACCAGAAATCAAAGAATGAGAGGAGGGAGCTGGGGCGGCCCAGTACCCTGTCTACCAGGCTGTGGTTTAGCAGTGACCACATTCCTCTGCAGAAGGTCCTAGTGTCTGTCAGGTGCCCTGTCCTGCAGGTAAGACTCTTACTAAGCTCTAGTAACGGCTTCTCCCTACCCTTCCAGTCGGTCCCTCTTAACCTTTTTGAATTGTCTTTTCATTAAACTCCCCCTGACCATCCCTTTGGAGCGGGCCATTTGTTGCCCATCAAGACTCTCACCTACTGCACATGACACACAGGGGCGGGGAGAAAGCTTTTGCATCTTCCACAGACACCTGGTGCTTCTGGTCCACCTTCACCTTTCCTTCAGGCAGCAGGCTGACATAGAATAGGTGCTCAAAATACTCTTATTGAATTATAAATGGATTGAACCCAAAATTGTCAAGAAAAGATAAGGTTAACAGAAAAGAGAAAATTTGATGAATAAATATCATACTAGGGCTTTGCTTTAAAAAGCATCCCTAGGAGCTTAACTGTTTATGCAACTGTATATTCTAATGATAAATACTGAAACCTTGATATGAATGAACAGGGTATATTTAAGGGAGTGTTGGGGTAGTGGTTTGAGTTTTGAGAGCATTTGCCGAATAAGGAAATGTTCAGGAGCCTCTTGAGCAGGACATTGAAGCAATCAGACCCGGGCTTCAGGGAGTACATCTGGGAGCGTTTGGCGAAAGGCAGCACCAGTGGTGAAGGGACGGTGGAAGGGGAAGCGAGGAGAGACGCAGGCCCGCCGCGGCGGTCTGAGGACAGGCAGTAAGAGGCTAAATTAGAGCAGCGGCATGGAAGGTGCTGTGGAAAGAGGCAGTAAGTGCTGGCTCGCAACACTAAGAGAAAAGCAACAGAGAATGATGAGTCTAAGAGGATTCCAGCCTTTTGTGCCTGCCTGACAAAGCCTGGCCGTCCTTCTCGTGGAAACAGGGAACCCTAGAGGAGCTGCTGGACAAGGTGAGGAGTCTCTTGCTGGACATCTTTGAAAGAGCAATTTTAACAGAATGAGACAGGGAAGACCCAGGAGTTAGGGTATAAAGAGAAGGGACACTATTTCCAGCAGCCCTCCTTTGTGACATTGCTGGCTTTTCTACTGCCTTTGTATACACTCAGAGTGACAATGAACCCACAGGACAGTGAAAGTCCCAGGGCAGATGGCACTTTATAAATGTGGACCTAGGTTGCAGGAGAGAGGTGGAAGCTGTGCATGTATCAGCCTGGATGAATTGGCCAGAGAGAAGACTCCAGAAAGCAAAGGGGCCTGGTGGCAGAAAATGATAGAAGACCTGCATTTGGTAGCCAGGGGCAAGCAGTAAGAGAAGAAATGCCAGAGAAAAAGGCCCAGGAGGAGGTACTGACTCAAATGATTGGGCAAAAAAGGTTACAAGATTGCGAGTAATTATCCCAGAACCTAAAGAGAAGTCAACGGGTGAAGAATACAAATCAAGGACTGGGTTATGTGATGAGTAGGCACACATCTTTGAAAGAGCACTTTTAGCAGAATGAGACAGGGAAGACCCAGGAGTTAGGGTGTAAACAGAAGGTAAAGAAGTAAACGCAGCAGGATACAACCATTCATTCAACAAGGCTGACAGTAAAGGGAAGCCAAGAGTGGGAAAGGAGGATGGCAACATGAGGACTGAAAAAAGGGGAGGTTTTAGGCCAGAATTTGACCAGAGCAGAGGAAAAGGTCAAGGGGAGAGAAGGAGATACATGCGGCTAAAAAAGAGCCCTTGTCAACGATTCTTATTCTTTTTTGGTCGCCTGGACCACTTAGGAATCTGATCCAAGATCTATACTGTCCCACTGGAAAATGCACACACTCCATTTTGCACACTATTTTGGGAGGCCAAGTGTGCCCCTGAGGACAATCCTTGTTCCTCCTGTGAATCGTAAGAACTCTAGGGTAACCGTGTCCTCGCAGTCTTGGAGGAGGTGGATGCAGGTAAAACAGAGACCATGGGGAGAGGGGTTGTGTTCAATATGGTTGGCACATGGCACAGCAGCTCAAAATAAAACTAGATACTAGAATCTCATAGACAAAATACAAAATTACAGACAGCATAGAGAGACAGACACCATAAGGTATTTGGAAAGAAAACGGTAGAAGAATTAAATGTTTCCTTTGAAAATTACTGCTTTTCCAGATGCACGAAAATATTCGTTGTGAAGCAGATTTTCACAGAGACACGTTGTAAGCAGGCTCTATGTCCAACAATAAGATAATGGCTGTGTAAATTACAGTACCTCGTTGACGGGGACTGTGGCAAGGCCATTTTAAATGATAGTTATAATGACTGGAAAGAACGTGGGGACATGTTTATGACGAAGTGTTAACTGAAAAAAAGAATATAAAGCAGAGCCACCCTACGATTACAATCATCTAAGGTGTTTAAAATATTTGTCTACATAGAAATGATAACTAGAAAGGAAAATAAAGAGGAAATATGACTTATTAGGCTCGTGGAATCTTTGAGGGACAAGGATTGTCCTCAGAGTGCTCTTGACCTCCCAAA